GGTGGTGCTTAGGTGAAACCGTAGGTAGTGGGGGCCCCTTCTGAAAATCTGCTTAGGGCCCCCAAAATGCTAGGATCGGCTCTGGCCATGGGCAACGGTAAAATATCCTTTTAGACTAATACCACATTTGAGCGCTCAATGCCGCGCTTGCCCAGTCAGAATCGAGTGGTCTAATAATACCTAATTTATTACAGATAAGATAGTGGTCCAGCAAGGAGCAAACCGAGATCACTCCTATCACAGTGCACTCCTTTGTGCGCAGATAGAGGGGCAACCTTGCGGCCTAAAACTGCAGTTCAACCTCCCTCCCAGGTGAACAGACGGGGATGGGTGTACACTGCGGTCTCTGCGTTATGAATCCAGGGAAAAATACACAGTAACCTCCATTAGGGGTCTGACAGAGGAGACTGAGCGTTGTAAGTGCGTACTAGCATACTAAATGAGATGCTATTTATCAGAGAGCACTTTTAAAAGCCCATTCACACTGTATACAGATGTGGCGAATGTACTCAGATCTAATAAGACGCTGAATTCAGCCTCGTCCGTGATAAAGTTAATACGGGATTCATTAGGACGCGTTCAGCGATAATTGATTGCGCCATTGCGCGTCTCTTACCTTCCCTCGCCTTCAGCAGCACGGTGTTGGCCACGATATTCTCAATCTCCATTGTCAGAATAAAGATCCCATGCAGTCCCGATACATTTCACTTAGGAGAAAAAAGATGAGGACGCTCGCGCTGTTGGTGGCGGTGAGGATGAGGATGATGATCGGTGGTGAGGATGGTTGTGATCGGCGTGAATTTGGCGTTGGCACATTGCAGGTTAATTGTATTTCTCCATATCTCGCTGTTGAACCCCCCACCTTTCCGCTCGCCGTGGACATGTACTCTCTCTCCCCTTGTTAGCATTCAGTGCTCAGCAGTCCTTCCTGTCTCGAGCAGCACTCGCTTACTCCGTCAGCTCTGGAGGAGGAGGGATCATCTTACAACCAGAATGTAACCCAGCAGTCTCGCTCTCTATCGTATGATGAGTTTGTCACACAAAAACTATTTACTATTTTACAAAAAATAGTAAATACCCAACACGCAAGCAAATGTCTAATTCCCTATTCATGCATAAAGTGCACCTTTTCAATACAATACAGATATACTTTTTTTTAGGTTTGTTACCTAGAATCAATACTGCAATATTGGAAAAAATACGGATTCTTACTTATTTAAATGTTTATATATATAGTGCTGTCAAACTATTAATCGCGATTAATCGCTTCCAAAATAAAAGTTTTTGTTTGCTCAATATATGTGTGTGTACTGTGCATATTTATTATGTATATATAGACACACACATACAGTATATCTTTTGAAAATATTTACATGTATATATTTTTATTCATATAATTTGTATTATATATAAATATATTTAATATATAACATTACATATTTTTCTTAAATATATACATGCATGTGTTTGTATTTATATATAAAAAATAAATATACACAGTACACACTCATTTATTATGCGAACAAAAACTTTTATTTTGGATGCGATTAATCGTTTGACAGCACAGATCCCATGCAGTCCCGATACATTTCACTTAGGAGAAAAAAGATGAGGACGCTCGCGCTGTTGGTGGCGGTGAGGATGAGGATGATGATCGGTGGTGAGGATGGTTGTGATCGGCGTGAATTTGGCGTTGGCACATTGCAGGTTAATTGTATTTCTCCATATCTCGCTGTTGAACCCCCCACCTTTCCGCTCGCCGTGGACATGTACTCTCTCTCCCCTTGTTAGCATTCAGTGCTCAGCAGTCCTTCCTGTCTCGAGCAGCACTCGCTTACTCCGTCAGCTCTGGAGGAGGAGGGATCATCTTACAACCAGAATGTAACCCAGCAGTCTCGCTCTCTATCTCAGAGTTATCAGGGCATTTACATTACTGCCAAAAACATATATACACACACATATATGTATATATACACAACATAATAAATATACACAGTACACACTCATTTATTATGCGAACAAAAACTTTTATTTTGGATGCGATTAATCGTTTGACAGCACTATATATATATATATATATATATATATGGTGAGTTTCTCACACAAACAAAACTATTTTACAAAAGAAAATGAGTAAATACCCAACACTATTCCCTAGTAAAAAAAGTCAAATATTTAAAATATATTTATTTCATACTAAGTATAGTTCAAATCTATTAACATATTTACTGACATATCACTCGAGACTTACTGATATAAAAATCTTAAACTTTAATTGAAGTACGACTTGTGCACAATGCACACTTCTTAATATTAAGCCTAAAATGTGTTTTAATGTCACTATTGATGAGGATTGTATGATCTTTGAATAATATTGGTCTTTAAATGTAATATAAGTATACTTGCAATAGTCCCACTTTAGCACAATCAAATATACTTACGTATATCTTTAGTTGGTCTTCAGCACTACTTCTGCACAATTAAAGTGTATTAAGACAGTACATAATTAGTTGTTCCAATTTGGCAGACTTTAAATATTCCAGTTTAGTATACCAAAAGTACAATTGCAGGGTATTTTTATTACACTCTAAAAAATGCTGGGTTGTTTCAACCCAACTTTGGGTCACATATGGACTAACCCAACTTTTGGGTTAAAAATTTAATGTAAAAATTTAACCCAACGGTTGGGTTAGTCCATATTTGACCCAAAGTTGGGTTGAAACAACCCAGCATTTTTTAGAGTGTAGGTACATAAATATGTAAATGAATTTGTAGTATACTTAGTATGAAATAAATGTATTTCAAATACATTTTATTATATTTACGTATTTTCCACTAGGGTTGCAAATGTCTGATTCACTATTCATGCATAAAGTGCACCTTATCAATACAAAAGAGATGTGTTTGTTACCTAGAATCAATACTTCAACATTGGGAAAAATATAAAATACGGATTCTTGTTTATTTAAATGTTTGTAGTGAAATCGAAAAGCTGAATTTTTTACTGATGTTAGAATATAAAAAATTATCAACATGTTATTATTTTTTTATTAAGTGTTATGTATATATAAAAGATTTTAAAAATAACAATAACTGCATTTGCATCTGTGATTCTTAAACAAAAGGGACGAGGTCCACTAGGGGGCCTCAGCAAATGATGTGCAACATACAGTATAAACTTGACATTTCATTTTCAAGTGCTTGAGGAAATAATTTATGTGACTAATTTACTCTAGTTTAAGAAATTTTTGTCACGTTTTTAAAAGGAATTTTAAAATTCCACTTTTTTTTTTTACTGCCATTAGAATATTAAAATGATCAAACAGCATATAGACGAATTCTGTTATACTTGACAAAAATTGACTAACAAAATATTAAAAAATGTGCACCACTTATTGACTGAGTTTTTTACATTTTTATTTTTACTTATTTCTTTTTTGGGTACATAGAAGATCAGCATAAGATAATACTCTTACAAATTCATTATGCAATACATCTTGCACAGTGCTTATAAAGTGTTGCTATAGTAGTTTGTGCAAATAAGGTTTTATAATTTTGTAGTTTGGGGAAATAGATCAGCATTGTGAACTACACATAATGATTAGTCTATAGATCATCAAGATGGACTGCATGTAGTGGGCTTTGTGATGGAGATGATCTTTGGTGTGCTCAGTATAAGCACTGTGTTGTGTTCGGGGGTTTCGGGGTGAGATGTATATGATATCTGCAGGGATTTGCTGACTCATAGAGGTGATTGTGGATGACCTTAATGCAGAACTGTGAGGTGGCCACAAGGCCTTGGATTTCCACAGCCTTTGGGGTTATTACAGCCTGCTTCACTTTACACAAGGACACACATTAGATACAACCTCTGTCTAGACTGCACACTCAGCTGTCTGATATTCCAATTAACTAGCTGAGACACTATTCCTAAATAAGCTTCCTGTGCACAACAATACTAGACCTTATGCTAACCTGTTTCATTATAGTGTCTTTGCAAACTAAAGGTTTCACTGCAGGTCATGAGCTCATTGAGAAATAGTTCAATTCATGTAAACCTTTGATCTATCTAAAATTCAAATTGTAGAAAGCAAAGCTCTTCAAACACACCTTTTTAGATCAGAGTGAATCTGTAATACTATTTATTCAATATAAATTCCATTCACATCAAAGTACCGATGGTTTAAGGTTATATATATATATATATATATATATATA